GCCCCGCGGCGCTAGTCTGGATGCCCCCCTGCCGACATCAAAGCCCTTTGTCGGCAGCCCCGGTAGGGCCGCATGTCCCCATGGACACACTTCATCCATACCGGGGCCCCTGCTGGTTCAGGCTGGGGCACCAGCGAGACCCAGACCATGGTCTGGCCGCAGCCTGAATCTACCAATGCCCAGGCTGCCTCTCCTTCTATGTCCAGCCTTGCTAATACTTTTTCACCTTCCCACAGGCGGGCCCTCAAGTTCGGGGCCACAACCCGTCCGAACAAGCAGTCCATAAATGGACAATTTCGATGAAAGTGGCTCTCCTGGCCGCATTCGTAGTACGCTGCCCTATTACTGGCTCCTGATCTGGGCCTGTCTGTGAGCTCCTCTTTGCTGGGTGCCTTATCTCCCTTCTTCCCTTCTTCTGGGGGCCCTTCCCTCCGGGGAGCCACATAGTCCCGGCTTATTCTGTCGACCCCCTCCTGCCCCCCAGGCCTCGCCTGCGACCACCATGTGGGATCCGGGCCCGTCCATCCGGTAGGCGTTCACCCTGTCTCTTCCCTGAGCTCTAACCACCTACGGCATGCTTCTCGCAGCCTTTGAGTGACCGTCCGTGGGTGCGCCCCGGCTGGGTAACGTTCCTGCCTAAACTTTTGCCTAAATGTCTTGGGGGTCACCCTGATTTGATCTAGGATGGCTTCCTTTACTTTGTAATAATTAAGTGCCTCCTGGGGATCCAGGCTTGGGTAAGCCAACTGTGAAGCTCCCGAGAGATAGGGTGCCAGTAAGGTGGCCCAATGCCATAGCCACGCACTCAAAAGTCTTGAGATAAGCCTCTGGGTCATCTTGGGGCCCCATTTTGGTCAATCAGATAGGCAACTGAGGAACACCCTCCTGTACCCCGCCTCTGCCAGCTCCTGCTCTGGCCAGAGCAGTGCCTTGATGGAGCGATGTCTCCCTCTGGGCTTGTTGCTGTTCTGTCAGTTCCCTGACTAACAGTCTCTGCTGTTCCTGCTGCTGGGCTGCTAGTTGTTGCAGCAGTTGGGTTTGCAGCTGCTAGTGTTGGCGTTGCTGTTCGGACAGCCATGCCCACACCTCTTTAGCCTCCATGATAATGGGAGATTTTACAGCCTACAAGTGGGGCTCAAATGTGCCCTCATTCTCCACCATCTGTCATGGGTTGGGCTCCCCCTCAGACTTACAGCCCATTCATCATCGGGGTCATCCACCTGTGCACCTTCCCCCTACCTGTATTTCCCGTCACCTAGTTCCACTTTACAGCTAAGTTCATGGCTCAGCGGGGAGTTCACTAAGTCCTAGCCTTGCCAATAGTGTGTTTCTTGATGTGAGGTGGGAGGGGGACTCAGGCCCACCCCCACTCCGGGTCCTGACCCACGACCCTTCAAGGCAGTGGCACCTTAGCGCTGTTTGGTTGGTGGGGTGTTCCCCGAAACTCACCAACTCTCGGGGTGGGGCGGGGCAGGC